TAGAGGAGGTTCACAAAATTTAAATATAATTTCTTTTCCAAAAACATTGGTTTTTATACCATCATCATGAACCATAAAATGATATAGTTTTGTAATAAAAGGTGTTCCTAGAATTAAAGGGGAAGATAGATCTTTTACTAAAATTAGATGAGTTTTATAACAGTAATCTTGGTTATTACAAATATGAACATCGGAAACTTTATAATTTACAATTAATTTTGTACCTCCGGCACCAGTAAGTCTAGATGCAGTTTTTTCATAGAATTGTGTAGGAAAAATTCCTTCTTGAATACAATTAATATCAGCACCACTATCAATTAAAGCAGTTAGATTGATTTTAAAATTATCTTTGACTAAAGTAATTTGAGTGTTCCATTTTTGAGAAACTTGATTATTTATAATTTTTCCAATAGTTACATTTTCAATTTTATTTTCTTCTTATTTATTAATTTCTATATTTTTGTTTTTAAAAATCGAAGGTTTTTCTTTTTCTAAAATTAAAATTTTATTTTTTATTTCTTTTATCTCTTGTTTTACTATTTTTAATTCTTCTTGAAGTTCTTGCATAGAGATTGGCTTTGCTTCAGTAAATATTTCATATATATTTTTTAAATTAAAATTTTCATTATTATCAGGAGTTATGTTATTAGTTTTTTTAAGCATCTGCTTTATTAATAATTCTTGGATATTTTTATCTTTTATAGAATCAAGAGAGTTTAAAAGATCTTTATCATCTTGTGAAAAAACGTTAATAGAACTACTAGTAATTACATTGATTAAATTTTTACAATGACATTTACCAATACATTCGCAAACATCAGAATCTTCTGAACTTGAAGTAGTATTTTCGAGAATATTTAAATCATTTGTTTGAAAATCAGAAATACTTTGATCGGAATCTGAATCAGTATTTAAAATAATTTTTCTTATTTGTTCTTTTAAATCATCAGAAACATTTAACTCATTTATTTTTGTCTTAGCATAACAATTATTAGTTGTATGACCATTACGCCCACATTTATGACAAATAATAATGTCTTTTGATTTTCTCTTAGATTTTTTATAATTTGGTTTATAAGGTTTTTTGGATTTTGACGCATAATCTTGGCCTTTTTTTATAATTTTCTGGAAGATTATAATTCTTTTTTCTGAAATATTTTGAAGGTCTTTTCTTATATACTTTAGATTTTGAAGTAGACGGACCATTCAAGGGCTGATAACCATATTGTTGGCAAAAATTTCCCAATTCATTTTTACTGTTAATTCTATCTTTTTTGAGCTTTTCTTTAAACCTAAGATCAGCACAAACTGCTAATCCCTCTTTATTAATGTAGTTTATTAGATCTCCATAAGTTAAATTTTGATAAGGGATGGTATTATTAAAACTTTCTCTTAATTTTTGTCTAACTCTTTCAGCAAAGAGTTTTGGAAGGCCAGCAATAAAACGTTCTTTCCAATAAGACTCTTTACAATCAGGTCTTGAAAAAACTTTAACAAGATAATTATCTTTATACCATCTAAAATCAGTAAGTTTTCTGCAATGTAAATTCATTAAAATTTCTGAAGTTTTTTCTTGAAAAGTAGTAGGATCTCCTACAAAGTTTTTGATAATAGCAAAAATTAAAGTGTTAACCATATCATCTTCAAACGTTTGTATTTGTTGATTATTTTCTTGTTTTATAATAGTTTTCTTAGCAGATAAAATATAATCTTTTTCTTCTTGTGAAATATAGAAATCCCACCATCCTTTGAGACTACCAGTAAAACCAGAAGTAATAATATTAACAATTTGAAGTTGAGTATTATTATGAGCTTTATAAGCATTAGCAGCCATAGTCATTTCTTGTACAATATTCATAATTTGATGTTCAGAATGGCCATCAACATTCCATTCATAAACAGAATTACCATCATATTGAGAACGATCAAATTGAAAAGTTCGTTCTTCTAGTTGAACATCTGGAAGAGAGGGCCTATTCCAATAATTTCTTATGGTTGGCTTTGGATTCTTTCCGAAAGAGCTTCGCTTTGATTGATGAATTTTATTAAGATTTGAAAAATCATTAGTGAGTTGACTAATATCATCATTTGAATTATCAAATTGTCGAGCAAGGGTTTCAAAATTTGTTTCACTATTAATATCACTATTTTCAGCTTCATCATTTGTAAGGGTATTAATACTGTTAGTGTTTGAGATATGGAGTTTTGAAAGTCTTTTTTCTAATTCGTTAATTAAATCCGTATTTCCTAGATTAAAATTACCATCGATTTGACAAGGAACAAAACTTATATTGCTAGTGTTTGCCATATCTTGCTTATTATCATTCTTGTCTTTGAATTTTTTTTTCAATTTTAACTAAATGCTCGGTAATACTAGATAAGGTTTCGTTTGCATAATTATTTTGGTAAATGATTTTTTGAAGACCCTTTTCTGTAGTTAATTGATTTGGGGCTTGAACTAAAGGAGTCGCAATAAACATATCGTTAATAATAATTTCTCCTTTTGGTGGAAAATTAGCAATAATTTCTTTATTAGAAATAATATCTTTATATTTTTTCTCTAAAATGGGAGTGATAGAATCATTTTTAAATGGGTAATTTATTTTATGTTTAGGGGCATAAATTAACTCAAACCATTGAAAAAAAGGAGAATGAATTTTATTTGATAAAACATAATCTTCCCAAAGGCCTAAATGGAGAAATCTTAAGTAGTATGAGAAATTTTCTTCATGCCAAACTCTTTTTTTATTATCGTAATCTTTGTAATACTCAATATTTTTTAAGTAATCAAAGTCAACTTGATATTCTAAATTCGAGAAATTCATTTTAACAGGTTGTTTTTGTTAGGATTGAAGAAATATGTTTTATTGATTCTAAATTATGACTTCGTGATTTTTCGTATTTTTTTTATTCCTATCGTTAGCCTAGAAATTTTTTCTATTTGTTTATTATATTTATTAGTATATGGAAGTATTTTGTATAAATTATAATCTTCATGAGTTCTAGTTTCTTCTAAATGTTGAATGGTTATATTAGAATTTATCTTCCAATGTCTTTTTAACATATTAGCCCAAAACTTATTATTTTTTGAACAATTAATTTGTACTTTAGAACTCATATTTGTTGTTTAAAATTTTGAAGTTCATCAATAAAATCTGATTTAGTAGGACTAGGAAAACTATTTTCACTATTTTGATCATCTTGATGTAATGGTTTGGGAATAGAATTAGTATAGTCAACAGTTTTTACTTTTAAAGATCTTGACTTTGATAATGAAGATTTTGAAGAGCTTGTTTATGGGATAAAAGAAGTTGATAATCTGGATGATGAAATTTTTAAGGACGAAAAATTTATATCTACTGAACCATCATTATATTCTATAATATTTGAGATTTGTTTTGAAGAGTCTAGTGGTTTTGGATCGATAATATTTTGTAAATTCCAATTACATGATTGAGTTATATCAGACCATTTTAACCTTTTTGGTGTGTGGACTTTGGTATGGTTAGTATTTGCTTCAAAAATAATTGTTTCATTTTTAGGACTTGATAAACGTGTTTTCGGTTCAAGTGTAGTTGTCATAGTTTTGTAACAGACACGATAAATTATTGCTAAAGGCTTTGTATCATCTTTAAATTCTAAATTTTTTGTTTCTATAGTTAACACTAAAGTATCTAAAATATTTTTATCAAATAACCCTACAGAAAAATTTGGATAACAATTGAAATAAATAGGTCCGTTAGCAATATTTGTTTCAGCCATAGCTAAAATAGAATTTTGAAAATCTTTATGTCTCTTGTCTCTTAAAATAAGGAGAACATGGGCATCTATTCCAAGTCTGAATAGAGGCTTGATAGCAATTTGGACTAAACCGACATGTAAAAATTTATATTTCATTCTATGTTCTAGAATAGATCGTGATGATAATAAATGTAAATTTTGTTGGTTACCAATAGACAAAGTTTGTTCTGTCATTTTAATAGAATAACCTTGAAAATAGTCAAAAGTTCCTATTCTATATATTGTATTAACATTAGTTTTAGGTATTGTCCAATCATTCAAACTTTGTTCTATGCCATTAACGGTTTCTTCAATAGAATTTATTTGATTATCATAATCTTGTTCATTGTCGATATTTTTACCAGGAATATATTTTTTGGATAATATGCGTGAAAATTTACTCATATTCAATTAATTTTGCTTTAAAATTCTATAAGGAAACTTACTTGTTTTAATAATGATGAACAGAGGCGAATCGTCTCAACGATGATTGTGGTCCGGCACCGCGACTTACGTCCTTATCTGCGCGTTTTACGCTAATCCAACCAATCACTGGTCTTGTCTCTGAATCATACTTATTAAAACTTGTAAATTTCTTAGAGAATATTAAACCCAAATTAAATAAATATGAAATAAAATATATCATGCATAACCACCCCAAAAACTTTTCTTGGCTCTGATACCATCAATCTTTTGAGACTACCAGTAAAACCAGAAGTAAATATATGATCATTTGAGAACTCATAGTTTTCTGAGAACACGATAATTAAACGAGAGCCGTTAGATCAAAATAATAAAAAGTTAGGATGTTTTATGGCATTTTTGTAAATACTTGAAAAAAAATGACACGGAGCATCATAATTAAATTAATCAGGGGCATTTTTGTGATAATTTAGACTCCCTGATTAAATCACGTCAAAGCGTCAATCCTACACCTCTGTGTGGGTCTCTCTCTCTCTTCATCCTACCTCCGACTGTCATTATTCCACTGCCCTATTTCAGACACCAACTACTCCCAACCCTCGCCGACGCTTCTTCAACTGGCGACGATAATGACAACTACGACACGCTTCAGACGACGTCTGGTGGAGGTACGAATCTCGAATTCCTGAATCACGCAAAAGACCGCATACAAAGAGGATTAGGCACCCGACGTCCATAGAAGGAGATGTTCAACCTCGGTTCGATTAACTTTCCTTAAAGCTTCTCTGACGTGATTTATGGTACCTCCTACCAGTGACGACCTTTTCCGGTGCTTTCGCTCAGAAACCGTTTCCTCCGAACTTAGATCTTTTACGATGTTTTCCCTAAAAATCAATTGCATCACCGATTGATTTGAATCTCTCAATCAGAGCCTTCGTTTTACCATCGGTTGTTACATCAGGTCTTCACTAGGTTTTATTAAAGAGTTCACTGATATGTGTTAATCTTGATCTAAATTTATACAGTGAAGATATCTTGCAATCATTGAAGACTTCCAATTCGGTGACCTGTGAATTACTCTGATATGTTCAAAGGTTGAGAGTGAGCGAATGCGATGTTCAAAAATTGAAGAATTTTAAGGTATGTTAGTTTCTTCAATTTTGATCTGAGTTATTATTTAGTTGTGACAGATACTACTTATTCGTGTTTAATTTTCTGAATCCGGAGATTTTCTTTGATCGAATTTTCTTTAATTTTGTGAATTTGTCACAAAAGAGTTAATATAAGTACATGTTCGAACTATAGATCACTAGAACCCTTACCGTCTCATGATATTTGTATATAGTTATTCTTAATTTGATATATGAACTGAAAACTATAAATGGATGAAATTGAACTCTTACTATGTTGTGATGATGTTAGGTATACAAAAAGGGTGGGAAGACCATTGTCTTTACTCAAACAAAAAGGGATGCAGATGAGGTCTCATTGGTATTGACTAATAGTATATCTTCAGAGGCATTACATGGTGACATATTTCAACATCAAAGAGAAAGAACACTTAATAATTAGACACTTGAAGTACCTTTTTGTGGTTATTATTGGAAAAGGGTATATGGGGAAAATGTGTAAATGTGGCATTTCTTACCTGTATCCATCTTGTAAGGTCTGTAACACAGGGCTAACAACCAACTCAAAATTTTCCTTTATTAAAACTGCACAAACTACATCACCTAAAGCAACAATATGTAAAGAATCAATGCATTCACTAAGGAGTGTCCATTCTCCAAAATAACTCCCTTCACTCTTCTCCATTGAAAGATTTGTGCCACTTTCCATGTTATCAGCCATCAGACTTGATGCATTTTGACTTCTGATATATGAGTCAAACGTGATCCTCACTTTTCCCTTTTGTATCATATATAACCCTGAAACACCATTACCCTACAAATAGACATGCTTATATATATATGTTTTTCCCTGGTATGTAATACTAAGGAGTGTCGAAAAATGGTTATTTTTTATTTTTTGATAATTGGTAAGTTTAGTTTACCTTATCAACTATTGTTTGTCTATTGGAGAAGGAAACTTTAGAAAGAGCATCAACAATGAGACTGGGTTGTAAAATGGTCAACCTTGAGAGAAGGTCAATGAATCTGATAAATTTCAATGATGATAAATTTGAAAACTCTGATGTAAGAATTCCTCTAAAATCTTCTCTTCGTAGGGCCCATAGAGTTCCATAAGTCATTGCACGTACTGAAGCTTGTAGGGGCTTATTGTACATGGAGTGAAATAGAATCACAAAGGACTGGAATAGAAACACAAAGGAATGGAATGAGTCATTCAAACATGTGGTTTGTTATATGCAACCAGAAAAATAAATGAATTTAAGATGATAAATAAAGAAAAAATGTTAGTTAATAAAAATAAGTATTAATAGTAGACACGTCAGAGATTTTGTTGTGTAAACTTATTGTATTTCTTATGTTTGAGTCGCGGGTCTATAGAAATGTCAGACTCAGAGGATTTTCAGCCAATATAACTGGAATGGTGATTTGTTGACAATCGCCTTTCACGGAGCCACAATCTAGCAACAGAAAGCTTTGGACATCAATGAGAGAGATTTGGGATTAGATAATCCCGATACTATAAGAAGTTATGGGGATCTTGTTGTGTTATACTCTCACCATCAACGTACAAACTTGGCTATGTTTTATTTTCATATTTATGTCCCCTTTATACAACTTGGTTTTCTTACTTACTACAATATCATGTATGTAGTGATTCACATGTGAATCACATATGAATTACATGTGATTCACTTTTGCTTTACATGTAATTACAAGTTAATCACATGTGATTCACATGTAATTCACAAGTGAATCACATATGAATTACAAGTTAATCACATGTGAATCACATATGAATTATATGTGATTCACATATAAATCACAAGTGAATCACATATGAATTACATGTGATTCACATATAAATCACAAGTGAATCACATATGAATTATGTCTATATGCACACATGTATTTTATGCGCGTGTTCTTCGTTAATTATTATTTTTTTTAATTTTCTTATGAATTTTACATTTGAATCTTAAAAGATATAATAACATGTGAATCTTACATGATATAATCAAATGTGAATCTTACATGATATATACATATGCATTTTTTGTGAGTGTTTTTACATTAATCATTTTTTTTAATTTTCTTGTAGATTTGAAAGAATTTGTGCAAAATATTGAAGAGATGAAAAGTGATATGAAGAAAATATGGAAATCTTGACACGAAGATATGAAAACACTTTGAATCTTTGTAGCATTTTTCGTTTTTTTTTATATTTTATATTGTATCGAATAAAATATTTGTCCTATTGTGTTTATAGAATAGTATATAAAATGATTTTTTATGATTTACATACGAACAATATAGTATAAAAAATATGCATTTTATATTGAATTTTTTATAATTTACTTGCGAAACAATATGGATATATGCACCTAAAACAATGATTTTTTTATTAAAATTTTTTTATATAATTTTTTTAAATATTCTAGTTTTTTTTTTTAAATTTATTGATATTTAAAAAATGTACTATTTTTAAAGAAATTGCAATTTTTTCAAAAAAATATTTATTTTCAATTTTTTATAAAAATTCATGTTTTCTAAAAACAATTAAAAAAATCTGCATTTTTTTTAAAAAATCGAAAATTATTGCTTTTACAAAAAAAAAACCAAAATTTTGATTTTTTATGTTAGCTTTTGGACATTTTTTATTAATATTTCCAATAACACAAAAATTTAAACATTAAATGAGATTGGTAAGATGACGATCGTGCCTTAATGAGTTAATTTTGATCTAACGCTCCACCTTTAGTTTTTAGGTTCTCGGGAAACTATGAGTTCTCAACGGATCTCGCCCCTATATATATATATATATATATATATATATATATAATATATATATATATATATATATATATATATATATATATATAGACAAAAGATCAAATGAGAACCATTAAAAGTTAAGAACCACTTAGGAACCATTTTTATTAAAGTATAACACAAGAACCCACTTTCATCTTTTGTTATATCAGATCAAAACACACTACATACACTCTCACATAGTTATCTTCTCTCTCTGCAACATCCCAAAAATATAGACCAAAATTTCGTTTTAAATCGGTAATAAAAACCATCAATATCATCAATCACATAAAAATCATAGTCATGTATCTCAAAAACATCATCAAATCTATCAATGTATCAAAAATTATATATCATAAATCAGAGTGAATCCTCCCAGGCTAAAAACAGTGGTGTGTGCCATGCAGTCATCCTGAGCTCTTCCCCTTACTAGCGGAAGTACCTGAAACCAAAACTGAAAACTGTAAGCACGAAGCTTAGTGAGTCTCCCCAACTACCACATACCATACACATAACACATAAACATATCTTGGGCCCCGCCCCTGCTACATCGAGTCAAGCTCGACATCGGCTTTCCCGGCATCGGGCCCCACCCGGCATCGAACCCTATTCGGCATCGGGCCCTGACCGGCATTGAGCAAATCTCAGAATACATAAGAGCATAATCAGTAATACACATAAACCTAAGCACATAACATTAACACTTAAACATTCATCGGGCCCCGCCCGACATCGGATCGTAATCCGGTAACATACTAACATTCCTCGGGACCGCCCCGGTATCGAACTTAAGTCTGGAAACATACAATATAAACACATGCAAGAATCACAAAGACATCAAGCATACAAGCATTACTCGGGACCGCCCCAGCATCGGATCGAAATCCGAAAAAAACATATAATCCTACATCGGGCCCCGCCCGGCATCGGACCATAGTCCGGAACTACTACTAGCTAAACGGGTCGGCCTTGGTGCCTTAGACCCGTTCCTACTTGAGGAAACTTACCTCGAATGCTAGTTGTGAAATCTCGTTTGAGGAATCTCTCACGACTGCTCCAACGACTCCCCGACTATCAATTTCACAATAACACTTAATCAAAAATCTGATAATTCTTCTTAGGGTAAAATGACAATTTTACCCCTGGTCAAAGTCAACGTCCTAGTCAAAGTCAAAGTCAAGGTCAACTCCCAGTCAAACCCAACTCGGCGAGTTCCTGTACTACTCAGACTCGTGGTCAGCCGAGTCAACTCTTCGAGTCCCTTACTGGACTCGCCGAGTTCCCCTGTCTGTTTGGGCTATCTTAATGGATTAAGCATCTACACTTCAGATCCAAGCTTCATACTTCATATAAACCCTGAAAATGTCCTTTTAAGGGTAAAGTTTCTGATTTTACCCATTAATACCTCTTCTTAAAGAGTTTAGCTCAAACCCTAATTCCTTGGGACCTACAACTTGATCCTTAAACCACCCATACACCAAACTAACGCTTACAAACTCAGATCTAAACCCCTAACATTACTTGGACACGTAAAGTTCCCAACTTTCCTTCCAAGCATGGCCCCTTAGGGATAAAAAGGCCATATTAATGCTAATAAGCTTGCATGGGGCTTCCATGGTCATAAAGTTTGCACCTTTATGCCATAGAACCCCTCCTAGATCCCAGATCTGAAATATAAGTCACTTGGGACGTCCAAATCCCCAAAGACCAAGGTTCTTGTACCAAAACCCTCATAAAATGGAAGTAAATAGATCTAAGGAATGAATGATCAAGTTAGAGACTTGATTACCAGAAAGTGATGAGGATGGAAGGAAATCCCTGGATCTACTATCTTCTCCTTGAACCTTCTAGCTCCTTCTTCTTCTTCTAGCTTCAAGAACACACCAAAACACTCAAGAATGGCTCACAAACTCACAAGATACTCTAGGGTTTCGTGGATTAGGGTTTAGGACTTGAAGGATGGAAATGAGGCCAAAAGGTGGGGATTAAGATGCTTAAATAGAGTGCAAAAACTCGAAATTAGGGTTTTACTCTGATAGACCTACTCGCCGAATCGAGGGCTTTTGACTCGTCGAGTAGATGGCTGAAATCCCGCGTCCAAGACTCAATTCTACTCGACGAGTCTGGGGCTTCCAACTAGTCGAGTAGCTCTATAAAAATGAATAATTTGTAAATAAATGCGTACCAGAAACTGGACGTTACACTCTCACCTTTAACTTGAAGAACACACAAGCATTACAACCAGTTAGCCACCAGCCACCACCCTTGACTGCCGTCGAAGAACCACCGCCACCAGATCCAAAAGCTCCGGTTGCCTCCAAATCTACAATTTCAACTTCAGATCAACGATTTTCCTCTTCAGATCTACAATTTCAGCTTCAGATCTACGATTTCCCTCTTCAGATCTACGATTTCCCTCTTCAGATCTACGATGTTCGTGGGTGTTGCTATTCACACCCGAATTTGAAGGTCCAAACCATATTTTGAATAAAGTGAAAACCACTTTGACTTCTTAAACCCTAATTGAGATGACTTATAATTATGAAAAATTAAATATCCTCTAATTATTATTGTCTGCCTACATTTGAAACTTTATTTTACATAATATTTTCAATTTTCCTTTCTTTTTTCTTTTTAAATCTAATCAATGTTATATAGAATCCCATATTTTATGGCTTTTTTTATATTTTTCATTTTCTAATCTAAACAATATTATATATATAATGGTTTAATTGAGAAAAAAGGTTGAGAATGAGTGAATGAATCTGGGTCACTCATTTCGAATTTGTCGCTTAAACGCTTCAGTGTATCGGGAGGACGAAACTAATTTTATTCATATATGAATAAGTATGTGTTTGTTCACAAGTGATTATTCATATATGAATATGACAGTTGGTGGCGGTGGCAGAGGTAATGGTGGTGGTGGCGAGGGTGATGGCGGAGGTGGTTGCAAGGGTGGCAGAGGTGGTGTAGGGGTAGTGGTGGCGGTGGCAGTGGTGGTAGTGGTAGTGGTGACAGGTGTAGCGGTGGCGGTGTCAATGGTGGTGGTGGCAGTGGCAGTGACGGAGGTGGCGGTGACGGAGGTGGTGGTGACAGCGGCGGAAGTAACAGTGAGGAGGTGGCGGAGGAGAAGGGAGGTGGTGGATTTATATATTTGTTGGCAATAGATGTCCAATATCATAACTAATTAGTATAACTTTAGGAGGTGAAAATTGTGGATTTCGGGCGGTAGTTGTCTCTCTCGGCTATAATCAAAATTATTGGCCTCAAATCCTCTCAGAATTATACAACGAGTTATTAACAAACTGGGGACTATATGTAATAATTTTTCAGGATTATAAACAACATACATCAGTTGTTGAGTTTCATTGAATTAGGTTATGACCAAAATGAATATTGGATGATTATGCTAGATATTGGTTTCCTCATTGCTAACACATATGGTGTAATCGTCTATCTTTTAGACAAGCAAGGTTCGTCAACTTCTTTTCCGCTTTAGCATGGTCTGCAAGACATACCACATTATAGATCTATTGTTATCGCCTACGTTCACAATGACCATTATGTGAAAACTGATTTAGAAGAATCGCATCCAATGCCTATAGTTTTGCCACTTTGGCGTCACTACACATCATAACATTTTGCTGGATGAGAAATATTGTATAATGCTCGACTGAATGCATATATTCTACCAAGTGCACCACGTAATAATTGTAATATTCATATAGTTGATGTCCCTGATAATTAATAAAATTAATTTATACATTATTAGTATTACATATTTTATTGTCAGTTTTAACATATTTCTAATAAAATTAAAATATGACAGTTTTTAAAACACAACTACAATAAATAAAAATTATAATTTTTATTTATTGTAGTTGTGTTTGGTGAAAAATAGTTGTAATTGTGTTTTTTTAGTAAGTTTTTGCTTGACGTTAATAATAATAAAAGAAAAAAAGACTAGGCACTGTCGATATGACGAATACCATAATTTTACTAATTATATATATATATATATATATATATATATATATATATATATATATATATATATATATATATATATTAAATCCAAATGATTTTATGAATAGTACTTTTTTTTGGTTTTAGGTTTTTGTCACAAATGTTTGGTTAATTTTACACTTTTCGTCCCTAAAGTCAAAACTTTTATATTTTTACCTTTTGATTAAGTTTTTGTGTGTTTAGGATTTTGCCACAAATCTTTACTGACTTTGACATTTTTAGTCCTTGCAGTGAAAAGTTTTATATTTTGGTGTTTTTGCCACAAAT